CCACCCACCCATCCATCCATCCACCCATCCACCCATCTATCCATCCACCCGTCCATCCGTCTATCCACCATCTATCCATCCACTCATCCAGCCACCTATCCATCCATCCATCCGTCAACTCACCCTTCCATCTATCAATCTATTCACCGGTACATTCACCTATCCTTCCACCCACCTTTCATTCAGCACCTACTCTGTGCCCAGCCCTGTACTCAGAAACAATCCTCACGTTACCACTCTACGATGTAACCAAAGGAAATGGACATTCTCTTTGTGAAAAACAATTTTTTTAATTCTAAATTTCAAAAGTAACATATACTTGTAAAATAGAAATATATGGACATATATTTAAAAGTAAAAATTTTTCATTTCCCTTCCTCTCCAGTTCCCTAACAGTGGTTTAGAGTACATCCTTTAAATTATTTTTATGCCTTTACAGACATGCTCACGCACATATGAAGAGATAGGTGTGTGTATAGGATCATATAATACACGCTATTCCAAAACTTGCTTTTTCCACTCAACAGCCAGTCTTAAGAATTCTTCCCACGTCAGCACACCCAGACTGAGCTCAGCCTTTTAATAAGCTGATGTAATTTTTTAACCAGTCCCCAGTCGATTGGTCTTTACGGTATATCCAGTTTTTTCTTTTTATAAGCAAGACTGCGATGAACATCCTCCTGCTTCTTCCTTCGTGCATGCATTTGTAGGGGTAGAGTCAGAAATGGACCCTCTTCCTGTTTCAGGTATTTAAATACAACCGATTCCTGAACGCTGATGGAACAGAGAAGAAAGACTTTTACAAGGACGGAAAGCGACTGAAGAACTACAGCATGCCCTGGGGAGCGGGGCACAACCAGTGCCTGGGGAGGGCTTACGCCAGCAACAGCATCAAACAGTGAGTGCGGGGTGGGGGGCGGGCCGGGGGAGGGGGGCTCCTGCTCCGGCTCCTTGGCACCCGCCATCGTCTCCCAAGACCCGGGGCTCAGCCGGGAGAAGGGTTCCGGGCAGAGGCTCCAGACGAGAAGCCCATGAGCCGTCTCCTGCCCACACATCTATTTATTTGTGTTTTTAAAAGTGTGTGCTAACTTTTTTTTGTGTGTGTGAGGAAGATCAGCCCTGAGCTAACATCCATGCTAATCCTCCTGTTTTTGCTGAGGAAGACTGGCTCTGAGCTAACATCTATTGCCAATCCTTCTCCTTTTTCCGCCCCCCCCAAAGCCCTAGTAGATAGCTGTATTGTCATAGTTGCACATCCTTCTAGTAAGTGTGTGCTAACTTAAGAATCAGAAGAGCTCCCTTAAAAAGCCAGATTTCTGATTGCTTTTGAAATAATCAGATCTGGCAACAAGTTTTCCCTCCAAGCCTGGTGTCCAAATACCAAACACTGGACGTTCTGAACAGCTGGCCATGGCCGTCTGCCTGCAGCTGCTGCTCATGTTCAGAACCCTCGGCAGGCGCTGGTCAAAGGTCACTGTCCCTCCTGGTTATTTTAACGCCTGTGGGCTGAATGCCTCATAAATTCTCTTCCCTGGACCCTCGTAAGCTGGGTGGCCTTCTGTGCCTCTGTTTCAACTGTAAGATGGGGGTACTCATCATACCACATCCCAAGGGTGTCAGGACAAAGGAACTGGGTCTTTCTAAGTACTTCACCCACTGCCTGGGTCATTGTAGGCATTTCATATGTGTTAGTAATTATTGTAATTGCTGATATTACCATCATTAGTGTGCAGGCATTATGCTAAGTGAATGGTCACATTACGTTAATCTTTTGGCCTCTTTTCTCAGCAGTAAAATGGAGACGAGAATGCAGTCAGTTCCGCTCTAACACTTCTTGTGCATCCCTAAAAATCACTGGCCCTGCAAAATCATGCAGTGAAAACCACAGGGATTGTGGGAAGAATGGGGCAGGGGCCCAACCGTCAAAAACCTCATAGTGACACGTAAAAAAAGATAAGAACCTAGGGATAAAGTGGTAGTACAGGTTTATGCATGTTAAATGGTTACGAAATACCTAAGTGCTAAAATAAATATGGGGCTTTACTTTGAAAAGGACTTGAAGTTTGCTTGTGGAAGAGGCCGATGGATGGAGTGCAGCTGTGAGTTGGTGTGAAGCATGGAAGGAGGGTTATCTGAAATCCAACCCCTGCTACAAATGGTGTGGCACATCCCCCACCCCCCCAAGAGCTGAGTGGTTGGTGGATAGTTGGGTGTGCACGCGTGTGTTTTCTGAATTCCTGCTCAGCTTGGTTCAGCTGGGTGTGGGTTTTTGCACTCTCCTCTTGTTCTTGCAGATGAAATTACACACAAGCTAACGTGAAATTTGCGTTACGCTTCATTCGTGCCCTAATATATCAATCACACTGGAACAAACTCACGTGTTCAAAACAAGTGTTACAGCAGAACTGACTGTAGTTCCCGCCTTATAAAGTTTGGGGACAGGTAAAAAGAGATAATGGACGCTAAATGCTTAGCATGGTGTCTGGCACATAGTGTTTCAATAAATCAGCTAATTTGTGATTATTTTTATCTCACTTGATTGCCACGACAACCCTGCTAGGCAGGTGTCAGTCTAACACTGACTCTCAGGAGGTCCGTCATTGTCACAGTCATGTGCTGGTGACGGAGGTGCCAGGATCCAAATCCAGGAGCAGGTACACAACTCCCACCCTATGTAAACTCATCCTCTAACAGCTTCAGAGCTGAGAGGGACACATCCCCTCTTTGACCCTCTTTGACCAGACCGGGAAACTGAGGCCCAGACTGGGAAAGAAACTTGAGGGGGGTCACATGCCCTTAAGAGGCAGAGCCCAGTTGTGCGCCCAGCTCTCCTGTCTGGAGCGGTGACTTCGCTCTGTCCTCATCTTCCCTCTTCTTCACTCATTCAGTAGGATCAGCGACTCCCTGCCGTGTGCTCAGTCCCGCACTGGGCACCTGGGTGGCGGTGGGGGATCCAGTCCTGCCCCTTACTAACACAGGTGGGGGGACGTCAGATCAGGCGGGCGGGCAGGGGCAGTTACCATCAGATGGGGCTGCCACCACATTTACAGGAACACTGATTATATCACACACGTGATCTGTTTACTTGTTAGGACAGTTTTCCAGAAGATGGCAGTAAAGAGTGCTTGTTGGGGCAAAGTTGGTGTATGAGAACAGTTTTCCCGTGGACGGGGTAAAATGTCTTGAGGGAGGGGTACCCGTTTCTAATCTCGCAAAGGCCGCCTGTCGTCTAGCAGCAGCCCTGACCCCGGGGGACAGTGAGGGTTCCGGGAGTTTGGGGTGGGGGTGGGATGAGTATGGTTGGGGGGCGTCAGGAAGGGTCACCGTCCGTATTAATCGGGAGATGCCAGGCTCTGCTGCTGTACCGAGCGACCCCCAGGCCTCAGTGGCTTGTAACAACGAGGCTTTAGTTCCCACTCACCAAGCCGGCTGTGGCCTGGGGGCTCCTCCCTCGGTGCAGAGACTCCGGGGCCGGGCTCTCGCGTCTTTCCGCTGCACCGGCCAGCGTGAGGCCTGCATGGGAAGGTGGGCTGGAGAGGCTGCGCCTCGGGGTGGAACTGACCCGGTCACTGCTGCTCACAGCCCGTCGGCCAGAACCAGCCCGCGGGCCGGCCCAGCCGCGGGCCTGGCGGATGTGGAGGGGCGCGTGGACTTGGGGCTCTGCCCTCTCCCTCTCCTTCTCCCACAGCGGAGCTGGGATCGGACTCAGGAGGAAGCCGCTGCTCTCCTGCCTGGCTCTGGATAAGCACCCACTCCCCCTGTCCCTCACACCTTCCACGCCGTCTCTCTGCAGGTTCGTGTTCCTCGTGCTTGCCCACTTTGACCTGGAGCTGCTCAGCCCCGAGGCGGAGATCCCTGAGTTTGACCTCAGCAGGTACGGCTTCGGGCTGATGCAGCCGGAACGCGACGTGCCCATCCGTTACCGCATCCGGCCGTGAGATCCGGGGGTCCACGCGCTCGCCTCCACCCAGCCTGCCCCCCATCGCCCAGCTTCCCGTGCGCACGTTTGGCCTGGGTGCAGAGCTACCCAACGGTGCCCGCATTACTACCCTCCTGCTTTTTCCCTAGAAGGCTGTGTCCGGGGGAGGGGAGGAAGGGAAGCAGAGAGAAGGCGAATGAAGAAAAGACGCCAAACCTCTGTGGATTATCTGCTGCAGAGGTTTAGTTCCAAAATGAGGCTCTTTCTGCTCCCAGCTCCCCTTGCTCCTCTCATGAGATCCACAAAAGCCAGGGCAGACCGGGCAAAAGTAGGGGACCTCACTGCTGTGCCCCGCCTCCTGGAGGTGCCCCTGTACAAGCCCTTGACGATGGTGTGGTCCAGGCCTTCACCAGGCGAGGCAGATGCTGGCCATACAAAGGCCAGTCGCGATCCAGCAGTGTGTCTCCTGAAATAAGGTCTGTCCCCAAATTATTATTAAACTAGCTAAAGCCAAAGGAGTCCCTTAGCATGTCTGCTTTCCGAGGTGCCACACTCACTAGACGCTTCCCTTGTCCCTGTGTTCACACCAATACTTGAGAAAATGCAGGAAGGTTTGCCTGAGGCTGCTGCATCCAAGGTGTAGATCGTGAGCACCCTCCGAACACGGGGCTCTGGGGAGAGGAGCTCTCTGTTCCAGGGTCGTGGGCTCCAGAGGGGGCGGGAGGGCTGACACTCCAGTCAGGAATAAGAAAGAGGCAGCCCTGATGGGGTGGCCCCGATGGAAGGGATTAGTCGGGGCTTCTCAGGCTGGTCAGGACGAAAAAGAGGAGGTGTTGGTTTCCTACATTCGGGCTCAGAAGCTCCGGCTGTGGGCACGATCTGGTCTGCACACCTCTTTTGTTTGGCCTACACTTAAAAAAAATACACTCTCTTCTCCTCCTCCCTCATCTGGGTCACGTGCATTCTGGTTCCGCAGGGTTTCCTCTTGGTCTGCTTCTCCATCCACAGGACCTCCTGGCCCCTGACGGCGCTCGAGTTTGAGAACCCAGTTCTAATTCTTAGACGAGGTACTGTAGGAGGTGGTGGGAACCTGCTAATTGGTCTTCAGACCAATGGTCCATCTTATCCTGGGTGCACCACCCTTTGAACAAGCAGATCAGTGATGAAAACTTGCTTTGGCATCGGCTTTAGAAAAAAACAAAACCAAAACAAAACAGCTCAAAGCAAAAAATTGCCTGGAAAACTTTATTATGATGGTAGACATTATTATTAATTTAGGTCTTATTTATTGAGGACTCTCTAAATGCCTGTGACAGGCACAGTAGACATAGTATTTCTATTTCTCACAGCATCTCTGTGACGAGAGGATGGTTATGTCCTCTTTATAGAGGAGGAAATGGGCTCAGAGAGGTGAAGTGACTTGCCCGGGGTCACACAGCTTATGAGCTGGTAGAATTCAACAAAGAGACTTATTGTCCCGGTAGCAAATGCTAGATGGGCAGCTCTGCATTCCTTGGGCTCCAGGGGGTGGTGGAGGGGCAGTTCTGTTTGCCTTCAGAGAGCCGACAGAGCCAGAGGCACCCATGGGTGGATGCATCTCTTGAGACACAGACACATGTACACACACATAGCTAGGTCCCTGGAGCTTTAGCTGGAGGGGGGAAAGAAGACCTGAGATCTCTGCATGTTCCAGGGGCTAGTCTCTTCTCGGAGCAGTGCTGGGGCTTGGGGGCTTCCCTGGCCGTCAGCCTCCAGGCACCCCCAGGATTCCCAGACAGACACTGTGATTGGCAGGAGGCAGGATATCCCCAGGGAAACCCATCTTCACGCCTGGGTGACCCCCGCTGCCGCCTGCTTCTGAACTCCGCAGGAAATCAGGGCTGGCAGCCTCCTGTGGGAGGACAGAGCCAGTTTCCATGGCAACCCTCAGCTGCCTCCTCCTGGCTTGGAAGGGAAGGAAGAAGGCTGGCAGAAATAGCTGCAGGGAGATCTCTTGTGCGTGGCTGCTACCCCGGTGTGCTGGGGGAAAGCCCTCATGACTTCCTTCTTCCAGATCAGGGCCACTTGTCACTGCGACTAGATTCTCACCTGTGATCAAGACAGGGCCATTCCCTTTAAAGGCGGCACCTCCCTGGAGCCACGATCGTTAGGAAGAGAGATGCTCCCACCAGGCTGCTCCAGCGGGTGCTGGAGGTAGAGAAGTACAGCTTGCAGAACAATGATGTAAACCCTCCCTGTTTTCATCTTTATTATTTTCTTTTCTTCTTTTTTTTCCCTTTCTTCTTCTTTTAAAAAATATAAGCAATAAAGAAAAGAGAGGAAGACGACTGGGTTTGCCGTTTGCTACAGGTTAGTTAGGAAGGGACCTGGACATCATTGTGTTTCTTCATATCTTGCTTTAGAATCACCAAATTGCAGGACATATGTGAGAAATACCCTTAGGTTGATCTGATGAAGTGTTTCCCTACCGTCCTCATTATTAATTTTTTTTGCTATATTTTGTATTGTTGTTTACCAGACATTTTCCTTGAAACAGACTCATTTTTTTAAACTTCAGTTTGTTTAAAAAGGGAACTTTTTTCGATCGCTGCCGGTAATGGGCAACATGTATCACTCGCTGCCAAAAACAGAAAGTGACTGTGAAAAATAAATTCGCTGGAGAGGGAGCCTCCGTGCGGGTGTCACCAAGGCCTGAGGTCTGTCTCTTCTCCGTTACAAAATAAGACGAGCGAGTGTTGGAGTGGCGTTAAAGCCATATGCCAGCACCACCCTGAGACTTTCTCCTTGACGACCACGGGTGAAAGGGACGGGGGGAGGAGCATGCTGCTCACCACGTGGGTCAACCGTGCATTACCCCTGGTCCAAGTGCCGCCCAGGTCATCTCCTACCACCAGTGGGCCCCGCCGCAGTGAGCTGGTGACGCCCCAGCTGCCCGTTCTCCGGATGGAGAAACAGGCTCTGAGAGCTGAAGTGTCTTGCCCAAAGTCATTGATTTTTTTTTTTTTTATAAACATATTGTTTCGTGAGGAGCCGTAGTTGTCATGCCTCGCTGTTTTAATAAAGAGTTCTATTTTCATATGATATTGTTGAGCGGAAACATGCTGAAATATATTAAACCATCCTTGTTTGTGGAACTGCCTCTGAGTGTGATTCGGATCGAGAGTCGGCTGTGTCCAGAATGATGACGTTAGTGCCTGGGAAGGAAGCACAGAGCACCTACTGTGTGCCCAGCTCTGGGACGGGCCTTTTGTAGACAGAATCAAGTCACCAGTCCAGCCACCCGCCAAGGCATATGTTATTGTCTCCATTTGTACAGAGGAAGAAACTGAAGGTCAGAGAGGTGAAGTGGCTTGCCCAAGATCATGTGGTCAATAAGTAGTAGACGCGAGATTCCAGTGCAGGCCTCTCTCCCTCCAGAGACCCTGTTCAGGGTCTTTCTGTCAATGATCTTCCTGATGGCAGAAGAGGGACCGGGTACCCCTAGATGACCTTGGGGTGGAAGCTCACAGCCCAAATTAAGACAAGCAGAAAAGGGCTCTCAAATATTCACTGGACGTTCTCTTTCCTTCACCATAATGTATGCATTTGTTTTCCTATGAAAAAGAAGGGGTGAAATAAATTAGCTTTGGGAAAAATAAAAAAGGGAAAATTATTTTTTCTCTCAAATCTTTCAGTAAAAATAATGTCCTGAGGCAAGTGTCCCTCCCATCAGTTTCCTCATCTGTGAGGGGGCCATGGAGGCACATTCGATTGGATTTGGCTGTGAGTGACAGACATCTCAGAGAAACACTGCGACATTTTGCACATTAAAATGTTAGCATAACACACACAGCAGACATTTCTTTCTCAGGCAGATACAGGAGACCAGAGGTGGTGTGGCATCTCCACCATCACCAAGCCCCTTCCTTCTGGTCCCTCCCTCAGCGTCTGTAACCAGTGGTTTCCACCTCAGGGACCAGTATGGCTGCTTGAGCTCCAGCCATTTGGTTCACATTCCAGCCAGCAGGAAGCAAGGAGGAGCAAAGATGAGAAAAATCTCCTGCTTTCAACCTATTGGTCAGAACTTAGTCATATAACACTCCTTGCTGCCTAGGAGGCTGGGAAATGTAGTCTTTCTCTCCAGGAGACCAATATGTGCCCCTGGAGGGTCACCATACCCCAGCTTGAGAAGTGCTGCATTATCAGTCATCATGTGAGCCACATGCAGGGCCAGGGGGACAACACTTGGCCTCCCTGAGCCATTGACTCTATATCAGAGGTCTGCAGCAGCAGGATGTCACCGTTCACTACCCCGTACCATTAAAGTCAACGGAAAGTCTCCAGGTAAGGACATTAAGAAATACATTTGTCATTTACTTCCACCGTGAATCTATGAAAGGACATTTGAATACCCCTAAAGCAGAAAGGTAGGTTCCATATCAGAATTAACACAACCATTCACTCAAAAATGCATATGAATAGCCCCCAAGTGGAAACAACCCAATTGTCCATCAACTGATGAACGGATAAACAAACTCTGGTACAGTATGTTCATACAGAGGAACACTATTTGTCAATGAGAAGGAATGAAGTACTGATACATGCTACAATATGGATGAATTTTGAAAACGGTATGCTAAGAAATCAGTCACAAAAGCCCACCTATTGTATGACTCCATTTACGTGAAATGTCCAGAAGAGGCCAGTCAACAGAGACACAAAGTGGGTTAGCGGTTGCCAGGCGTTGGGGTGGGGCTGGGGAGAAATAGGGGGTGTCTACTAAAAGGTATGGGGTTTCTTTTGGGGGTGATGAAATGTTCTAAAATTGATTGTGGTGGTGGTTGCACCACTATGTGAATTTACTAAAAACCGTTGACTTGTACCCTTTAGATAAGTGAATTTTATGGTATGTTATTTATATCTCAATAAAATTGTTATGTATATTTTAAAAAGTAAGTATTTTGAGCACCCTGCACGTGCCAGCTACCATTCTAGGCGATGGGGACCCAGCAGTGAATAGAAAAGACCAAAAAAATCCCTGTCTACGTGGAGTGACGTTCTCATGGGGGAGGCAGCAAAAGACGAGGTAAATAA